CCACTACATGTAGTACTACACTTATTTTTTTTTTTTTAATTTAAAAAAAAAATCAAGTCAGGTGATGGTGGGGCATGCCTTTAGTACCAGCACTCAGGAGGCAGAGGCAGGTGGATCACTGATTTTGATGTCAGCCTGGTCTACAGAGTGAGTTTCAGAACAGCCAGGGCTACACAGAGAACCCTTGTCTCAAACAAACACAAACGTGTTGGACTGGAAATGGTGGCACACGCTTTTAACCCCAGCACTCAAGAGGCAGAGGCAGGATGATCTCTGTGAGTTTGAGTCCAGTCTTGTCTATATTACAAGTTCTGGGCTAGTGAAACCATCTTTAAAAATCAAAATATACATATACCCTATATTGTAACCACAGCCGGAGCCTGGGTTCTCTGCCCAGACACTTTGGTGTAGATTTTTGCAAGATGACTGGTAAGTTCCTAATATAGAAACTCTGTGAACACTATTTCCAGAAGTTGAGTCAAGTGGCAATTGGTCTTGACAGTAGCATCATAAGGGACTTGAAGTTCCCTAGGGTGGTGCAGACCCTGGTCAAAACATTAGTTTATCTTTCCTGACAGCAGCTTCTTGACCATGAGAACAGATATCATTGTCTCTGGGGGTTGGAAGAAACTGCCTTAGCTACACTTGTGGGTGGCTGCCTAAACCTCAGCAAGGGTGAGCTGTGCTAGTTTTTGTGAACTTGACACCAACCTAGACATTCCTGGGAAGAAAGAAACTAAGTAACTGCTTCTACCCCATTGTCCAGTGGGCATCTCTGTGGAGCATCTTCTTGATTAATGATTGATATGGGAGGGCCCAGACCATTGTGAGTGGTACTACTCCTGGGTAGGTGGTCCTAGGTACTTTTTACAAGCAATCTGAACAAGCCATGGGGAACCAGTTAGTAAGCAGCACTCCTCCCTGGGTCTGCTTCAGTTCCTGCCTCCAGTCTTCTGCATGGTGGTCTTGCCCTGACTGCCCCGAGTGAGGACTGTAAGCTGCAAAAGGAAACAACCCTTTTATTCCTTGAGTTGGTTTTGGTCAGTGTTTTATCAGCAATAGAGAATCAAATTAAGACAGCAGCACAGAATGGGAGCACCTGACACTGTGATAAGACAGGCTGGCGCTTGATCTTGTTCCCTTGCTAGCCTCCTTTACACACAGAGAAAATGGGTAGTCTAGTCAAGAAGAAACTCCTCTAGATGGCAGATACTAATTCTCTGAAACATAAAACACCCAGGCTGATGATATAACTGTGGTAGAGCCCAATGACCACAAATGTCTTGACCCAAATCTGTTGGCCAGGATGAGTTGGGTTTTGTGCCAGCATGGTCTTCAAAGCTTCACCTTTGAGGAATTCCTTTTTTTTTTTTTTTTGAAGTTTTATTTCCTTTGAGGAATTCTTGCAGGAAAAAGTCAATCATTTCGGACCCCTTGGTGGACAGGGGGTAACATACAAACCTTCTCCAGGAACCTGAAGAGTTGATCTTCCCATGATTGATCAGTTCTGCTTGGTGAGAGATTACTACTTGTCTTCTGCCTTGCCTCTGTGAGCTCTAGAGCATTAGAGTCATCCTGACCTCAGCACTGTTTCCAGGTAACTGCCTAAACCTCTGCAGACACCGCTGTACCATCCCATGAGTAAACCCCTGGGGCCATAAGGCCCTTCTGCTGCTTAGTGTAATCTGTCCTTTGTTATTTTACCATAGAAGCAGCTCCATTTTCTTTTATATGTCCCCATGGGTCTTTACTTGACTCTAGTTCTTTTTTATTTTATTTTATTTTATTTTGGTTTTTCGAGACAGGGTTTCTCTGTGTAGCCCTGGCTGTCCTGGAACTCACTCTGTAGACCAGGCTAGCCTCGAACTCTCGAACTCAGAAATCTGCCTGCCTCTGCCTCTCAAGTGCTGGGATTAAAGGCGTGTGCGACCACCGCCCGGCGACTCTAGTTCTAAGTAGCAATTTATAGTGAGTTTTTTCCCAAACTTTCCTGTTCTTTCTTTAAAATACTTTCCCATTCTCTTCCCTAAATCCTTGGGTAGCAAGATGGTTCCGTGGGTAAACTGTTTGCTGCCAAGACTTCTGACCTGTGTTCCATCCCCAGAACCTACATGATGATCGGAGGGAACTAATACCCACAAGTTGTTTTATACCTCCACGTGCACACGCGCATTCGCGCACACACACACACACACAGAGCAAAAGAAAATAATGTTTTATGTGTGTGTGTGTACATTCTGTGTATCAGTGAGAGTAACAGGTGCTATTATTGAAATAATTATGTACATGTATGAAAATGTCATAATGAAACTCATTATCACATATGATTAATATGGTAATAAAACAATTTGTATAAAACATTTTATAGACAGAGAAATTGAGGCCCCAGAAAATTAAATGAGCTAACTCATGACTCCAGTGAGCTGGGATTTGCCAAAGCCAGTTAAAAGTTGGGAAGTTAAACCATCTACTGCATCTTTTGCAAATATTTCCCCCCTCTGCCCACCACGGACTCTGCATCCAGTCTGAAGAGCAAAGGACAATCAGAATATGATCTTGGTTGCCCAGGGTAGCTGCTTCTTTCAGCCTATCTTGCAATGCTCCTGAATGTCTGCCTTGGATTCGGTAACCAACTATAATAAATTATTTCCTTTTCTGTGTACAGGATAGCAAAAACTAAGATACTTTAGTTTTAAATCCTGGTTGCATGCTTACTATGTTTCCTGGGAAGTTTCTAACAACTACTCACAGATGAGCATTCTGCCAGGCATGGCTGTGCACATCTGCAATTCAGGGCCTGAAGCAGTGTCATGACTGAAAGATGTTTAGAACAAACAGTCACCTCATAATATTCCAGAATCCCAAAGAATACCAAAATCTTTCTATGCTAAAGACCCTAATATAAAATGCAGTGGTGTTTACATTTATACATACTTTAAATCATATCTAGATTACCTATAATACCCAAAAAAAGTAAATGCCATGCAAATGGTTCTTATATTGTCTGTTGTGGAATAATTACCAAAAAAAAGTCTGCATATGTTCAGTACAAATGTAATTAAAATTTTTGGTAGGGGCTGGAAAGATAGCTCAGTGGATAAGATTATATACTGCCTGCCCCTCAGAAGGCTCCAAGTTTGCTTACCAGAACATATGCCAGGCAGCTTACAACTACCTGTAACTTCAGCTCAGGGAGATCTGATGCAGCAGCCATCTTCTGACCTCTGAATGCATCCAGATACATATGTATAAACACACATACATAAATAACTTTAAAACTTTTTTCAATTCATAGTTGATTAAATCACAGATATGAAACTCATAGATACAATGAGTTTGCTGTATAGAATATGTTACACAGTCAGGAATGGGAATGAGACCTTACCTGTTGTGTGACAAAACCCTTCCTGGGGACACACACCACACACACACATCTACTCACTCCAGACAAGTTACCCACAATAGGCCAAAGCATTGAGAACATCAAAGTCCAATTTTGTGAATCAGTCAGTTTTTATTGGGGTTATAGGAATATGGATGAGGGAGCAGGAATGACTCAGAGAGAGCTGTATCACCAAAGCCCATCCCAGCACAGGTGACAGCTCACAAAGCTGAGACCCTGCAGCATTCTGCACAGCCTTTAGACAGCTCAGTGGGTTGAAGAGTGTTCTTCCCAGGTACCTCAGTTGGGCTAAACATCTTCCCAGCACCTGGTCTGGTCTGAGGTCTTCTTTACAGCTCAGCTTTCTGACTCTGAAATGTACTCTCATCTTTTATTACTAACTCTCAGAAAAAGGGGTCTAATGAATCTGGTCAGTTTCAGGAACTTCCTGAAGCTATGTTGAGTTTTTTTTTATCTTCCTGCTTAGGAAGTTTCCTGCAGAATGGAATGTTTCAAATCTTGGGGGAAACTGTTAGACAATACCACCTAACTCAAATGGGACTCAGCTTGGCAGTCTGTGTGATCCTTACTTTAAGCAGCTGGTAGGTAATCTTTCTGCTAAGGATGCAGACTGAGCTAAGGGTTAGAGTAAGTGTATTAGGCTGGGTGCGTTGATTATTGCTTACAGTTAAGCATGATTCAACAACAAGACAAACCTCAACCTAAAGTAACCAAACTAAACAGAATGAGCAAACTAAAGTTACAGGAGCTCAGAGAAAAAGCAAAATCATGTGTCCTGCTAAAATGAAATGAAATGCTTGGGGAAGGATTGGAATATTGTGCTGTGGTGATTGGGATGGAGAGGCAGCCAAAGGAGTTAAGAACTCTGAACCATCACTGGACAGAACCTCCCACAAGGAGACCCCTGCATGACAAGACGAAATGCCAACCTTTGTAAGCTGCAGTTCTCTCTCTCCCTCTTGTGTGGTTTTTGTAACTATCTTGAACTACTCACTGCATCACCAAGCACTCCACACACTTCCAGATCCTTGTAGTCAGATGAGTTCTGGTGATTCACTCTGTCCAGTGGATTGTACCTAACCAGTGAGCTAACCAATACCTTAACAGTCTCTGTCCTGCAGAGGCGAACAGAAACTGCATGTTGGGAATGTGTTGGGAGACCAAAGTAACCTGAGGCTCAAAATTACCTCATGGCCTTTGTGGTTGAGCCTCATTAAATGTAAGTCACCTAGTCTTCTTCTTTTTTTCTTTGCTTTTTTTTAAAAAAAAATTATTGGTTATTTTATTTACTTACATTTCAAATGTTATCTCCCTTCCTGGTTTCCCCTCCACAACCCCCCATCTCATCCCCCTTCCCCCTACTTCTATGAGGATGCTCCTCTACCCACCCACCCACTCCCATCTCCCTGCCCTAGCATTCCCCCCACTGGAACATAGAGCCTCCACAGGACCAAGGGCTTCCCCTCCCACTGATGCCAGATAGGCAATCATCTGCTACATATGCAGCTGGAGCTATGGGTCCCTCCGTGTCATAGCAGCCTTATTTATCATAGCTAGATGCTGGAAACAATCTAGATGTTCCTCAACAGAGAATGGATAGAGAAAATGTGGTACATTTTATTGGCTTTTAAACATTCTATTTTCATTTATTTTCTTTTCGTGGGAGTGGGGTACTTGAGCCATGGTGAATACGTGGAGGTCAAAAAACAACTTTTGGGAATCAGTTCTCTCCTTCCAGTCTGTAGGTCCCTGGGGTCAAATTCAGGTTTTGTTAGATTTAGCAGCAGGTACATTTACTCACTGAGCTATCCAGCTGTGATGGGTAATTTGGTTGCTAACTTGGCAGGATGTAGTGAAGACACAAGTCTCAAGGTATGTTATCTTAGGGGTGGGTGTCTAGATTGGGTTCACTGAGTTAGGAAGACTCACCCTAAATGTGATGGCAGGATTCCATGACCTAGGTTCCTGGATGCATAAAAAAGGAAACAGCAAGCTGAGTCTCCCATTCATTGCTCTCTGCTTCCTAGATGTGACTGCGGTGTGACCAGCTGGCCTTCTGCTCCTCCCAACATCCCTTCCCCACTGCAAACCAAAATAGACCCTTCCTCCCTTAAGCCACATCTTTCTAATCATAGCAATCAGAAAGGTAACTCAAACTCTCAAATCAACACTGTCACCACATTTATGGATTGATTCTCTCCCTCTGCTTTTGTGCAGTGTGACAGTTGGTTTGATAGTCAAGCTGCCACACATTAGGATGCCCTGAGAGAATTGTACCAGCGGAACTGACCTGATGGCCTTAAATGATTTTGGAAGACCCACCCTAAATGTGGAGGGCACCAGACCAGAGAGCACGCTGGTAGGATGCTTCTCTGCCTTCTGCTCACTTGATCTTCACTCCCCTCACTGAGTAGATTTAGCCCATTGCTGCCACTCCCCATTTCTTTGTTGATGTCAGAGTCAGCAACTTCAAGCTTCCATCACTGACTGCAGACCAGCAGCTCTCCAGGAGCTTTCCAGGCTGTCAGTGCCAGACTGGGAGTGCTTAGGTACCTACCCTTACAGACTGAGTTTCCACCAGTTCTGGGCTCTCCAGTGAGAGACACCCGCTGGGTGACTATTCCAACTGCTGATCATCCAGCCTCAAGGACGAAGCAACTGCCAAATGCTCAGCTTCTCAGGTGTGAGACAATGTAACATTTTAACCTAAGCTGATTTAACAAATATGTAGTTAATAAATTCTCTTTAATAAATATAATTTAGTAATCAATTTAATAAATCATTATTATTTAATCTTTTTTACAGTCATTATCCCCCTCCCGATCCACCTTCTAACAGTTCCTCATTCCATTCCTTCTTCCCCATCTCCAAGAGAATGTCCCCTGCTCCCACCTCATCAGACCTCCCCATTCCCTAGGACCTCAAGGTTAGGTGCATCTTCTCTCACTGAGGCCAGACCAGGCCGTCCTCTGCCGTATACGTGTTGGGGGTCTCATATCAGCTGGTGTATACTGCCTGGTTGGTGGCTCAGTGTCTGAGAGATCTCAGGAGTTCAGGCTAGTTAGCTGGTCTTCCTATGGGGTTGCCCTCATCCTCAGTTTCTTCCAGCCTTTAAGGCTGAAATAGATATTTTTTTAAAATAGCCGGGCAGTGGTGGCGCACACCTTTAATCCCAGCACTTGGGAGGCAGAGGCAGGCAGATTTTTGAGTTCGAGGCCAGTCTGGTCTACAGAGTGAGTTCCAGGACAGCCAGGGCTACACAGAAATCCTGTCTCGAAAAACCAATATGTGTGTGTGTGTGTGTGTGTGTGTGTGTGTGTGTGTGTGTCTGGACAGATGGCTCAGTGGTTAAGAGCACTTACTGTTCTTCCAGAGGTCTTGAGTTCAATTCCCAGCAACCACATGGTGGCTCACAACCATCTGTAATGGGATTCGATGCCCTCTTCCGATGTGTCTGAAGATAGCTACAGTGTACTCATATATATAAAATAAATAAAATCTTTATATATACATATATATGTATATAATATATATGTATATATGTATATAATAAGATATAATCTTTATATATATTTATATATGAATATATATATTATATATATATATATATATATATATATATAATATATATATATATATATATGCGCCATGTGGTAGTGGTGCACACCTTTAATCCTAGCACTCAGGAGGCAGAGGCAGGTGGATCTTAAGATTTTGAGTCCAGCCTGGTCTACAAAGTGAGTTTCAGGGCAGCCAGAGCTATACAGATAAACCTTGTCTCAAAAAAAAAAACCCCATATATATAATATTATATATCCATGTTTGTATTTTGATATTATATCTCTGAATTCTATGTTCCTTTGCATCACTTTTAGTTTAATGACCATAACTATCTATAATTCACTTATCTATAAAGTGTCTAAATCAGAGATAAGTCAAGCATAGTGGTATAGACATGTAACCCCAGCACTTGGGAAGTGAAGGAGGAGCAAGAGTTCAAAGACATCCTTGGCTATATGGCTAGTTTAAAGCTAAGCTGAGCTACATGTGTCCCTGCCTCAAAAAATTAAGAGAGAGCTGGTGAAATGGCTCAGTTGGCCAAGACTGCCTGATGACCAAAATTTAGTCCCCAGGACTGACACAGTAGAAAGAAAAAAGTCACTCCTGCAAGTTGTCCTCTGACCTCCACACATACACTATAGTATGCTAACATCACCCTATACTAAATAAATAAATAAATAAATAAATAAATGTAAACATTTTTTAATTAAAAAAAAAAAAACCTGGACATGGTGGCCCTGCTTATAATCTTTGGGTGGTGGGAGCTGAAGTATCAGAGTTTAACATCATTCTCATACATAGTGACTTTGAGGCCTCCTTGAGGACTTGTTTTGTTGGGTTTTAAATTTTTAAACTTATGTGTTTGTATTTGCACATGAGTTCAAGTGCTTACATAAGCCAGACGAAGGTGTTGGATCCCCTGGAGATGGAATTACATGTGACGGTGAGCTCCCTGGGATGGGTACTAGAACCTAACTTGGGTTCTGGGCAAGAACCAAGTAGATATGCTGAAGCACTAAGCCATCTTTCCAGGCCCTTGATTTTGTTTGTTTGCTAAAAGAGAGGAGTGGTTATAGTGGCAAATGCCTTTAAACCCCAGCACTCGGGAGGGAGCCTGAGGCCAGCCCACTATCTGTATGTAGGGAGTTCTAGACCAGCCAATGCTGCATAGACCTTGTCTCAAAAGGGGAAGGGAGCAATATGGCTCAGAGGGTAAATGTAGGTACATGCCACCAAGTTTGAGGACTAAGCTGGATCTGCAGGTCTTATTTAATAAAAAGAGAGAACTGATTCCTGCATGTTGTCCTCTAACTTCAACATGCATGATGTGACACTGACACAAGATATGCATATATAAAATAAATAAATAAATAAATAAATAAATGTGCTTTTTGATTGTTTTGTTTTTTGAGATAGTTTCTCTTTGTGTAGCACTGGCTGTCCTGGAACTTGCTGTTTAGATCAGGCCGGCCTTGAACTGCCTGTTTCTGCTCCCTAGTTCTGGGATTAAAGGTATGCACCACCATACTCATCAATAAGTGTAATTTTCCAAAAGAGAGAGAAACAGTAAATTTGCCTTGACCTAGTGTGATCCTAGCAGAGGCGACATTACCAGGCTACCAGCAAGTACCAGCACTTCTGGTTTTGTTTTTATCCCTGCGATGAGAACCCAAGCTATGTACATGTCAGACAAGCACTATATTCTGAGTCATATTCTTAGCCTTAAGATCAATATTTTCTATGCAAATAAAAGATCTCTTGTAAAAGACCTCAGAGTTAAGCATGGAGAGGGTTGCTGAGGATTCTTCTAAGCCAAGGAAGTCACTTGGCACTTTACCTTGGCTTAGAAAAGCAAGGGCCTAGGAATGTATCTCAGTGGTAGAGCACTTGCATATCTTGTGCAAACCTCTGAATTTGATCCCTGATAGCATTAGAAGAAACAGGAGGTGGAGAGGAAAGAGAAAGTTTGAAGGAATAGTAATTAAGTCCAGTATGGGGTATATTACAAATTATATACCCGAGGGAACTCAAGTGCAGAAGTTTAGCAGGCATCTGAGTATTTCTCCTGGAGCTATTGAGAGGTCTGGCAAGAAAATGGAATTGGAGGTCATTGACATACACATGGTGGTTGAAACAGTGTAAGCAGACCAGGCAGTTAGTGCAAGATTAAAGACCAGACTTCAATCTCCAGAATCTATGGTCAAACTGATGCCAGAAAATTGTTCTTTGACTTCCTCCACACTGCACTGTGGCATGTGTGCACATGCACACACACTCTGGCATACATTAACAAATAATAATAATATAAAGATATAAATGGTCTTAATCAGCTCAGCACTGGAACCTGTTTATGCTATCATACTGACTTGCCAGGCAAAATATGCCCACTGGTGCAATAGTGGGATGAAGGTTACAGAAGTGAACAACTATATGGAGTGGTTCTGATGCTCTGAGCGGGAATGAACACTGAAGGTCCTGTTCCCCAGTTGGTTCTTGATCAATCAATAAAGATGCTAGCTGCCAATGGCTGGGCAGAAGAGGTGGAACTTCCAGGCGCCTGCAAGCAGGCTAGCAGAAGCGGAGGAGGAAAAATGATTCACCATGCTTCAGAGGAAGAAAGAGCCACCAGCCATGTGAGATCTTGGGTGGAGGGAGTGGCCATTGGTCCCTGACTGGACCAAGGTAGCAAGTGGGAGATTAGAAATACAACTAAGCTGAGGGCAGACTTAGGGTACTGAGCTAGGACTAAAGGTAACTGAGCAACTAAAGTTGAGGACAGATTTAGGGTGCTGAGCTGGGAGTGAAAAGAAGGTTGTGACAGTCAAGGAAGGTTTAGAAGAGCCTGGCCATTGAGCTAAAGCATATCAAAAATAAGCTCTATGTGTGTGTCTGAGTAGGGCTGCTAGTGTAGTACTCTTGGAGCTTAAAGCGGGATAGTGGAAACTACATACTACAAGCAACTGCTTTCTGATTGGGTATGAACCCTGCTCCACTGAAGGGAATTCAAGCCTGGTACTGTAAACATGGCCAAAATCCCATGACTTGGGAGGTCATAGGCTTTAGGGCAGAACCTACTACTATTGTTTCACTAAATGAACACGATGCCAATATGCTCTGTAAAATGTGTATTTATCTATGGGTATCAATTAGTGCTGTTCTGAACACTGGCCAGAGAAGCCTTATTCTTCAGTGGGTAGCAATGTAGCAAGTCATAGTCAAAATGCTAAGATTATGTTGAGTGCTCAGGCATAAATGGAACATATATCGACCTCCTAACAAAAGGCTCAGGGGCTCCTAACACAAGGCTCAGCCTTTTCATGAGACTGTGAAAGAGGGAGTTGAAAGAATGTAGAGCTAGAAGATGGGGAGGACTGTTCAGAAATGCTTTCTTTTGGACTACACATAACGGTTGCCCTGATGAACCCACTGCAGCTATGGTTACCTGGACAAGATTGACACAACCCAGCAAGTCAACATTGCAACACGCAGCATTAATTGGACTCAATGGGTTAAAAAGGAAGGAAGGAAGGAAGGAAAGAAACAAACAAAAAAAGAAACAAACAAACAAGGAAAGGAAGAAAGAAAAGAAAGAAAGAAAGAAAGAAAGAAAGAAAGAAAGAAAGAAAGAAAGAAAGAAAGAAAGAAAGGGAAGGAGGGAGGATGGGATGTAGGTGTGTGTCCAGGAGTGACAGGCAGAGCTGGAGGTGGATATGATCAAGATACATTGTATATGTACATAACATTGTCAACTAATAAATAAAAGGGTCTAGCAGGATGGCTCAGCCTGTAAGAGTTCCGTTCCCCATGCCCAGCAGCTCACAATCTCCTGTAACTCTGGCTCTGGTCTCTGTAGGCACCCGCACCCATGTGTACAAACCCATGCATAGATACATACACATAATTAAATCTTTTTTTTTGTTTGTTTGTTTTTTGTTTTTTGAGACAGGGTTTCTCTGTATAGCCCTGGCTGTCCTGGAACTCACTCTGTAGACTAGGCTGGCCTCGAACTCAGAAATCTGCCTGCCTCTGCCTCCCAAGTGCTGGGATTAAAGGCATGTGCCACCACTGCCCGGCAATTAAATCTTTAAAAATATTCTTTAAAAACATTTT